GGAGAGGCTGTCAGCAGCTCAGGCCCTGCTGACTCACAGGCTGGGGCTCCGGGGCTGCACCCAGCCAGGCCGAACCCAACATTTGCAACCCAACATTCCTCCTGTACCCTGTCAGACAGGGTATAACACAGTACAGATAGTCCTCGACTTACCACAGTTCACTTAATGAACATTCAAAGGGACAATGGCCCTAAAATGTGACTGTTGACCATTTTCCACGCTTATGACCGTTGCAGCATTCCCCCCACAGTCACGGGATCAAACTTCAGACGCTTGACTCGTCTTTATGACGGTTGCAGCGTCCTGGGCTCATGGGATCGCTTTTGGCCCCCTTCTTGCAAGAAAAGTCCATGGGGAAGGCAGATTCCCTTAGCAACTGTATTACTCATTTAAGAACGGCCGTGAGTCACTTAACGACAGTGGCAAATAAGGTCGTCAAATGGGGCAACGTTTAGTTAACAAATGTTTCACTTAGCAGCAGACATTGTGGGCTCAATTGTGGCCGTAAATGGAGGACTACCTGTAGAAGGCCTTGGATGGGGGGGTTGGACTAGAGGACCTCTAAGGACCCTTCCAGCCTTGGATTCTATGAAAAACAGGCTGGAAAAAAGTCCAGGTTGTGATGTCACCAGAGTCTATATTGGCCTCCCCTGGCAGAGTCTGGTCTGTGCTGCCATCTAGTGGTCGTCTGGATTCTTGAAGGCCATACTGTATATATAGCAGGGGTTCTCAACCTTGGCCACTTTCAGACTTGTGGACTTCAACTCCCAGAATTCCTCAGCCACATCTCTTTGCTAGATCCACCTTTGATGTGGTGATGGGGGGGCAGCCTCTGGGGAAACCTCAGGCACATGGTTTTTTTCCAAGCCAAATTAGGATCCTCAATCTCCTAGACCAGGGGTAGACAAACTTGGCTCTTTTATTACTCGACTTCAACTCCCAGAATTCCTGAGCCAGCATGGGGGAACTATGACCCCCTCATGACTCGTGGACTTCAACTCCCAGAATTCCTGAGCCAGCCTGGCTCAGCATGACAACCTCTCCCTTTCCCCTCAGCACGGCTGGCTCAGGAATTCTGGGAGTTGAAGTCCACCAGTCATAAAAGAGCCAAGGTTGCCTACCCATGGCCTAGGCCTCTATTTCTCAACGTTGGCCACTCGCAGATGGGTGGACTTCAACTCCCAGAATTCCTGAGCCAGCATGGCTCAGCATGGAAACCTCTCCCTTTCCCCTCAGCTTGGCTGGCTCAGGAATTCTGGGAGTTGAAGTCCACGAGTCATAAAAGAGCCAAGGTTGCCTACCCCTGGTTTAGATGGTGGTGTGGTTTTTTTTCCCCAACCACAGCTGGGATGTTATTTGTGCAAAGCATGGGTGCTACTTTAGGTGCCTTTGCACCTAAAGTAGGTAACTCCTAGACCGGGGTAACTCAACCATGTCCACTTTAACAAGTGGACTTCGACTCCCAGAATCCCCCAGCCTTTTTCTATGAAGCCTGTTTTCCGGACAGCGAGAACAATATATGTCAGTGGAATGGCTTGCCACCAGAAGTTGGAGGTTGTTAAGAAGAGATTGGACCGCCGTTTGTCTGAAATGGTGTAGGGTTTTCTGCCTGAGCGGGGGGTTGGACTAGAAGACCTCTAAGGTCCCTTCCCGATCCTTTTATTCTGTTAAGACAGCCACCCGATATCTGCGCAAAGCAATCCACAGTGAACAGCCAGACATGGTTTAGATCAGTAAATACGATATTTATTCCAACGGAAGTCTTCTTACAATCACAGAGCCGTGTCATGGGAACTGCTCGTGAGGCTCCTGAGTTCCGGACTCTCAGCCAAAGGGGGTTATTAAGCCAGAGATCCTGACTGTCCCCATTCCTGCCCCCCCCCCACAATGGGATGAAGTCTTCTCAGCATCCAGAGGGGAACTACCCTTTCCTTCCTCACAATGGTGGGATTCAGCCGGTTCGCAGCACTTCGGCAGAACCAGTCGCTGATTTTTTGTGGCCCAGGCCCAGAACGGACTTCTGGGAGCGGCATCCATGCAGAGAACCGGTGGTTCACTTATTTGAATCCCACCACTGCTTTCTCAGCATCCCAGTGAGTGGGTCAATCCTGTGCAAACGAAGGGGGTGTAGATCTTGCCCCCACTCCCTTTGCAAGTGGGAGGGATGTGCTCTGCAGGTGCAGAATAGGAAATCTGGGCCTTTGGGGAGAGCAGAAGGACCCAGCCAAGACTAAATAAACAAACAACAAAAAAGTACAGGTAGTTTTCGAAACCGTTTGTTTTGCAACCATTTAGGAAAAAATGACTTACGACCGGTCCTCGCAGTTATGACTGTCGCAGCATCTCCACAGTCAGATGATTCAACTTTGGGGACTGGGCAACCCATATTTATAATCATCACAGCCGTCCAGGATCCTGGGAACTTCCCAGCCAGCTTCCCACAAGCACAATCCATGGGGGAAGCCTGATTCGCTTAATGAAATATATGGTTCACTTAATGACGGGAAGAATTCTCCCAATAACTGTGGCAAAAAGGCGATAAAATCAGGCGTGGGTCGCTTAACGACTGCCTTGCTTTTTGCCACAGAAACTCTGCTCCCCCCACTGTGGTCGTAAGCTGAAGGCTACTTGTATTTATGTTTTAAATTTGCATCGTTGTCCTGGTTGCGTACTTGGGGGGGGGGGGTCTTGGCTTCGAGAGACGGAATTTTACCTGGCAGGGCAGAAAATAGGAACCAACTTTGGTGATAATATGGGATCCAGGCCTGTGCAGTGGATTAAGGGAGTTTACAGGAATTTAAAAAAAACAAACAAAACTCAAAAGCGGTGCCATGACACTGAATCTCCCACCCAGGTTCCGTTTTTCTTCCTTGTTCTTTAGTTCTGCTCACGGAAAAAATCTCCCCAGACTCTCGCCAACAGCCTCAAGTGCATCCCTAGCACAACTTCCAAGCGAGATAGGTCGATTAAAACAAAAATGTGTTACAGGTAACAAAATAATAATAATAATAATAGCATGCATGCTGTTTTTGCTGTAGCAATACATTATAGAAATGGATGGGTGAATGGGGAAAGGAGGCGGATCAAATGTGAGATTTAACTAGGGGGGGGGGTTAAAAAAACAAGTATGGATGGAATAAAAGGAGGTTTGGATGCTGCCTTATCTTCATGGCAGCTGGAATCTGAATCAAACCTTTGCTTTACTAATAAAGCCAATGTGGGCCGGATACCTTTGTGTGCCTCTGCTAACATTAAATCTGCAAATTGCATGAGAATCGGATCGCTTATTTTCACTTCTCTTAAAGCAAGTGGCTAGATCTCAACACTGGAGAGAAACGGCTGGAAATGTGCTTAAGTCTTTTTCACTGCCAGCCTGCCTTTTAACGTCTTTATCCCCTTGATCAGAACAGCTAAAAAGCTATTATGCAAGGGGAAGAAAATGCATACAAATACATGTAAGCGGTATCTGAAACTGAGACTGTCTCTAAATCTTGTTCCAACATCCTTTAGCCTATATATATATATATTTGTTTTTGTAGATTTTCACGGGTATAGGTATGCAGGTCTTGGTGTATTCAGGTCTTCCCGTGTAAGATTGAGAGTATCTTGGCGACGTTTCGACAAGGCCCCACTCGTCATCTTCAGGCTGGGGTCTTCGGCTCGCACAAGTACGAAGCCGAAGACCCCAGCCTGAAGATGATGAATCTCTACTCAATCCTAATTCTCAATAGGTTATTTGTACACACTGCAATATATCCCAATGGCTCAACGGAGTATTTCAAAAGGCCCCCCAACAATACTTAGACCATCAATACCAGAAGTGGCCGTTAAAAATCCCCCGTTATTTCAAGAGTCTAATGTTGAAAGCTCATCCATCCACAATTTAAGGGTCTTCTGCCCGGTATGGTAAGATTCCCAGATGGGATTCCTCAAAATGTACAGTCCCCCAGGGAATCCCAGAGTGTTGCCGTCAAGTTCAGAAAGAGATACCAAGAACACACTGGCTTCTTTGCACCACAGGTCTCCAATTGTTGTTGTTGTTTTTTTTACTGTTAGACACACTTGTGATTGAGACGTCTTTTGCAGAGAGAGAATTCCCAGGATTCTTTGAGTGAAGCCAGAATAGTGATGCTGGTAATTAAGCTCGCTGTCCTAGTTTGGTACAATCCTCACCCAGGTCTGAAGAAGCATTTTGGGTGGCACAAGAGGCCAGATATTTTCATCGTCCTGGATGGTCCCCGTAAGAGTTCTGCAAAAAATGCAGGAGGGCAAAATGAAGAGTTATCCTCAACACCAAATGGAGCTCTCCAGTTGGGCCAAGCACCAAAGGATAGCTCCTTCCCACGGTCCTTCAGAATGGATTAGTGCAAGGACGTCGAACTCGCAACGTCACGTGACGTGTCGCGACCTTTTTTTGCTGTTGCTGGCAATGGGGTGGGCGCGGTTTCGCTCTATGATGCCTCCGGCCCGTGGGCTGGCAGTTTGACACCCCTGGGTTAGTGCTTTTCTTGATTAGTGAGTCAGCTGAATGGCATCCCTCTTGTGAGACCGGATGCCGTGGTTTGGTCTCCGAATGTTAAAAGCCACTTGGCTTTTGGAAGGAAAGTCCAACTTGGTGTGAGGTTAAGAGCGTGGATGCAAAGGCAGCACGGTGTTCTGGTTTTGGCCAGGCAGCTTTGAGTGGCTCAAGCTTTCCATGGCTATGGCGTTAAAGAAAAATCTATACATTATTTGCCTTTAGTTTTAAACGCCCTGGTGTGTGGTTGAGAGGCAGCTGTGACCTGCCCCAAAGGTTGCCTTCTAGCCAATACTGAGGAATGTCAGGATCTCTCTACTGCTGACGTATCCTGCAAGTGAAGTTCAGACTTCACATTCGTGGCTTCCTCGTTGGATAAAGATCCTTGGGGAACATGCCCTTCCTGCTTTTCCTTCCAACCGAGGACTTGGTTCTCGTTTTTCTTCCTGCCCAACTTCCTCTGGTCTCTTTCTGCCCCCCCCCCTTTTTTTTTTCTCTTCTCCTTGAAAGCTACTGCTGATTTTTTGAGATGGACTTTCCTTCAACTCTCTCAACCCCAGCGCTGAGCTTGTCCCCTGCAACTTAGATGGATTGTCCTGGATCCCAAGGGCCATGTCTTCTCCTTGGCCACCTCCCGAGAAAAAAAAAAGGGGGGGAAAGGTCACTTGATCTCCAGAAGAAGTCTCCTCCCGTGAATGCTGCAACATAGCAGCATTTTTGGACAAGGAGCCACGCTTAGATGTACAAGCTAACGGCTGCAGTGATAGGCAGAAAAGAATTTGGAGGGAAGTTCACCAACCACTCATTCTGTGGGCCTCCGTAGAAGCCCTCACAGATCTGATGTGTGAATTTATCGAATGGTAGGCCTCGGTCTGGCTCAATCTCCACAGTGTCCTCTCGCCGTAGTCTTCTCATCACCTATTCTTGCTTTGGGAAAGGTCTCCTCCAAGTAGTCTGTTCTGAGAGAAGAAAGGGTGGACAGCATGGAACAGCCCTGCTTTCACCAGGAGCATCTCCTCATCCCATCACTTCTGCTCCAGAAAGAAAGACTGATCTGCGATCATTTCAGATGCCACCTTCAACCGTGGCTTTTTGGAATCGACACCGCTTGTGGTTCTGGACTGCTTCCAGACACCTATCTCTGGTCTCCCTTGGTCCTTCTTCCTTCAACTGGCTGAAGGGAGTCCCTCAAGGTCCTGGGAGGAGCAATCAACTGAGGGGGTGGTAGACAAGCGGTGGTCCAAAGGCAAGATGGAATGGAGAAAATGTTGACCATTTCTAGTGAGACTCGAGATAAAGAAAGCTAGAAGGTCGAGACCATCCAAAGCCTCTGGCCGTGGACTGTGAAAGGGAAGTAAAACCTGAGATGGGTCTGATGTGGGCCAAACTGTGGCCTAAATGAACAGTTGGAACTGGGCACAGAGGAAGTAACATCTCTAGGTAGTTTGAGTTTGGATTCTAGGAAGACAGACCTTGTGAGACGTCTAACACCAGAGATACGTAGGCTTGTAGACACTGTGAGATCAACTGGCTTGATTCCGTATGAGGAAATGTGGTTCTTTAAGGTAGACAGGAATGGCTTAAAGACTGGAAGGGAAGACGGAGACGTCTGAGCTGGAAGCCTGGCTTGAAGAGGAGAAGAGCAGAAAGCAAATTTCCAATGCTGTGCTCGGCTGCTAGGTGAAGCCTTCAATAAGGAATTCAAGCCTGAACGTTTGCTTCAAGGATAAATTGGAGAAGACCTAGCACCTACTGAAGCAATTCAAGTCTGGTGTTAGGACGGGGCCAGGTAGCTGCTTACTCAGCCGAGCCCTTCTGCCGACGCTTGGAAGGGGGAACAAGATGGCGGGGCAGGTCAGAGGGCAGACCGTGACCCTCGAGTTTGACCTCAATGAGGTGGCTGGCCAGAGCAAACTCCTCGTCATCCAACATGCCATCCCGGTCAACATCGCTCAACTTCCAAATCTTCCCGAGAACCGAGTTGGGCAGCTTGGTGGTGACCATCCAATTCTTGGCCTTGGTGCCGCTCAGCTTGCCATCCATTGGGGAGAGGTTGTAGAAGATCTCGTCGTACTTGGGCTTGTCTTTGGTCACCACCCACTCGTCCTCATCCATGCCCTCGTAGGCGCCTTCGGTCGCGCCCTCAATAAAGGGGCCGTTGCGAGTGCCATCAAAGGCGCCCCCTTGGACAATCTGCTCTGGGAGCTCCACCTCCTCCTGGCGCAAGAGGGGCATCAGCTTGGCAATGTCGAGGGTCAGCAGCTCATCCAGAGTCTCCACCCTGCGGGGCTTCAGCCCGTGGAACTTGGTGAAGTCATGGACCATCAGCATCTCCTGCAAGAGAACCGGGGAAGAAGAGAGAGGAAAGCTTCAGTCATCTGTCCACCGCTATGCAACTCAGAAGCATTCAACGCTTCTAGAAGCAGGTTGTTCCATTGGTTAATTGTTCTCACTGTCAGGAAGTTTCTCCTTAGTTCTAAGTTGCTTCTCTCCTTGATCAGTTTCCATCCGTTACTTCTAGTCCTGGCTTCAGGCGCCTTGGAGAATAGCTTGACTCCCTCTTCTTTGGGGCAGCCCCTGAGATATTGGAACACTGCTATCATGTCCCCTCTTGTCGTTCTCTTCATTAGACTAGACATACCCAATTCCAGCAACCGTTCCTTGTATGTTTTAGCCTCCAGTCTCCTAATCATCTTTGTTGCTCTTCTCTGTACTCTTTCTAGAGCAGTGGTTCTCAACCTTTCTAATGCCGTGACCCCATAATACAGTTCCCCATGTTGTGGTGACCCCCAAGTGGGTTTGGCCACCAATAAGAGGGAGTAGGACAGCTAGGGAAAAGGGAAAAAAATGGTGGACAGCATGGGTTGGCGACCCCCGTGAAATGGTTGTTCGACCCCAAATGGGTTCCCGACCCACAGGTTGAGAACCACTGTTCTAGAGTCTCAACATCTTTTTTATATCATGGTGACCAAAACTTTTGCAGTATTCCAAGTGTGGCCTTACCAAGGCATTGTAAAGTGGTATTAATACTTCACATGATCTTGATTCTGTCCCTCTGTTAATGCAGCCCAGCACTGTGTTGGCTTTTTTTGGCAGCTGCAGCACACGGCGGGCTCATATTTAGGAGATTGTCTACTAGGAGTCCGAGATCCCTCTCACAGTTACTATTACTGAGCAAGGTACCCCCTATACTATACCTGTGCATTTGGTTTTTTCTTGCCTAAATGTAGAACCTTACTTTTTTCACCATTGAATTTAATTTTGTTAGATAGCGCCCAGCTTGTTAGATAGCGCCCAGCTTCGATGTTAGAGAACTGTTGGACAACCTGGAACTAAGGAGAAATTTCCTGACAGTGAGAACAATTCTTCGGTGGATCGGCTCCCCTCTAGAAATTGTGGATGCTCCATCACTGGAGGCTTTTAAGGAGAGACCTGACAGTCCCTTGCCAGAAATGGGATAGGGCAGTGGTTCTCCACCAGTGGGTCGGGACCCCATTTGGGGTCGAACGACCATTTCACGGGGGTCGCCAAACAACGCAGTCCGCCAGTTTTTTCCCCTTTTCCTTAGCTGTGCTACTCCCTTTTATTCTATGGGCTTTTGAAAGCCAATAGAATAGACTCTCTTGAATAGAGTCCAATTCTATTGGCTTTCAAAAGCCAATAGGAATGGTCCAGGCTGTCTCTGCCCTGCTGAGCCCGCCAAAAGTCCCGTTCTGCAAACGGTGCTGCACCAGTTGAGTAGTCCTCGACTTACGACCGGTGGAGTAGTCCTCGACCGGTTGGGGGGGTCGCAGCATTAAAAAGGTTGAGAACCACTGGTATAGGGTCTCCTGCTTGAGTAGGGATTTGGACTAGAAAACCTCTAAGTTCCCTAACAGCTCCGTTCGTCTGTTATTAATTAGATGCCCCTTGTCCTCACCTGCATTTTGTTGCAGTCGGGGAAATCGCCCGGCGAAATATGATGCTCCAGCTGGATCTTGGCAAAGATGACCGGCAGCTTGTTAATGAGCTGCTTCTTCTTGTTGTCCTTGCCGAAGACAGACGGCATCTCCCTCTTGAGGTGGCTAATGATGTGAGCATGGACCTGGGAGGGAAGGGAATTAGAGGAGAAAGAAGCTGTTTGGCCATTAAAAGAGGAGAAAATTGCTCCCAAAGAGCCTTGATAAAGACCAAGTGTCAAGACTGCTAACATCGGATGTTCTTGCTTGCCATATATCAGTGTTTCTCAACCTTGACAATTTTAAGGCATGTGGACTTCAACTCCCAGAATTCCACAGCCAGCAATGCTGGCTGTGGAATTCTGGGAGTTGAAGTCCACATGCCTTAAAATTGTCAAGGTTGAGAAACACTGCCATATATGAAGAAGCAAACCTGTTTTATTTAGCCCGTATAGCATTTCTAGAGTTAAGGCAGATAGTAGTAATTTAAGGGATGGGAAAGTATGCAGGTTAACCATAACAATGTCTGGGCACAGTGTGGCCAAGGTCAGCTCAGCTGCAACGGGAGGGGCACCTCACACTTCACATTAATTGGAGAATGTGATTGATGACTGTAAAATGAAGGAGTGAGTTATGCTTTGTTACAGATGCTTGGGGGAGGGAGGATTCAGTTTCTGGCTTAACTTTGTTAGTGCCGAAGCTATGCAGAATAATAAAAGATTCTTTTAGAGGAAAAAAGCCTCAAAATTCTTTGAAAATCTGCTTTCTTTCGGAACCATGTCACCAAGCCATCCTTTCAGGTTGGCAGGAAAAGATAAGTCTGGGAAGAGAAAGAAAGCAAAATGGAGAAAGTAGAAACTTCCTGTGCTTTGGGGCAGTGGGGGGAGTGGGGGGGGGCAAACACCCCAGCTCAAAGCAGCTTCCTATCATAAATAAATACAGGCATCCCTCCGTTTTTAAAAAGACAGGGGAATGTTTTCACGTTTTGTCTATGAAAAGATTATTGCAATTTCTCTAAACCAGTGGTTCTCAACCTTTTTAATGCCGCGACCCCCAACCGGTTGTAAGTCGAGGACTACTCAACCGGTCGTAAGTTGAGGACTACTCAACGGGTGCAGCACCGTTTGCAGAATGGGACTTTTGGCGGGCTCAGCAGAGCAGAGACAGCCTGGACAATTCCTATTGGCTTTTGAAAGCCAACAGAATTAGACTATTTAAGAGAGTCTATTCTATTGGCTTTCAAAAGCCAATAGAATAAAAGGGAGTAGCACAGCTAAGGAAAAGGGGGAAAAAATGGCGGACTGCGTTGTTTGGCGACCCCCGTGAAATGGTCGTTCGACCCCAAATGGGGTCCCGACCCACAGGTTGAGAACCACTGCTCTAAATCCTCTTTCTGGACTCTGGCTGGAGGCAGCTCCCTAAGCCTTGTGATTGTCCAGTTTCAGTCCCAAAATAAAAAGTGTGGGCTTGCTTGGGATCCTTACCATGGTTAAACTAATGCTGGTCCTGCCCACGGATAATATGTGACAGGCTGTCCTAAATTGCAAACGTCCAGCCCCATTTAAGGCCAAGTCACACTTTTGAGATTGCTCTTTGATGAATCTTTGCATTTAAAGTTCAGTTAAAAAAAAAAAAAAAGTGGGGGGAGGACCCAGGTGGTGTGGGAGCTTTGCATTAGAAAGAATCCTTCCGTTTTAAATGCAAAGTTATATTAAAGATAATTAGGGAAGTCGAGGCTAAAACATATGTAGAACGATTGCAGCAATGGGACATGTCCAGTTTAATGAAGAGAAGGACGAGGGGGGACATGATAGCAGTCTTCCAATATTTGAGGGGCTGCCACAAAAAAAAGGGGGGGGGGTCAAGCTATTCTCCAAAGCGCCCGAAGGCAGGAGAAGAAGCAACGGATGGAAACTCAACAAGGAACCAAGCTAGAACTAAGGAGATATTTCCTGACAGTGAGTAGAATTAACAAAACCAATTGCCTCCAGAAGTTGTGGGCGCTTCAACACGGGAGGTTTTTAAGAAGAGGCTGGACAACCATTTGTCTGAAAAGGTATAGGATCTCCTGCTCAAGCAGGGGGCTGGACAAGAAGATCTCCACGATCCCTTCCAACGCTGTTATTCTGTTAAATACAAAGTTACACCAAGTAGGGTGACGTGGAGATTTCTTGGTCAAAGATCCCCAATCCTTTGATGTGAGTTTCGGCAGAAATATCCCCTCTCTCATCAGGAAGAGTATTAAAATTGGATCTGCCCCTTTGCAAAATTAATCACTGGGATGGAAGGGGTCCAGTCCAGTCCATTTCACAGTGAGACAATGTTTAATTAAGTAAGCATCTGCACGTTGAGCACAATTAGACTGCAGCTGATTTTAAGCATGCCTGCAAAATTGGTATTGAATGTTGTCATTGTTATGAACAAAACATGCCTGCAATTCAGCAAACAAGATGAACCAGTTATGGTTTGGTTCACTTGCTGGGAACAAGCCTCTCTCACAGATAGAAAGGCCCTGGAAGCTGGAGAATGGCAGGGGAAGGTGGGTCTATCTCACTTTTATCAAATTTGACAACTTTAAGAGGTGTGGACTTCAACTCCCAGAATTCTCCAGCCAGCATGCAAGTTTAAGATGGGTGGACTTCAACTCCCAGAATTCTCCAGCCAGCATGCAAGTTTAAGACGGGTGGACTTCAACTGCCAGAATTCTCCAGCCAGCATGCAAGTTTAAGATGGATGGACTTCAACTCCCATAATTCTCCAGCCAGCATGCAAGTTTAAGATGGGTGGACTTCAACTCCCAGAATCCTCCAGCCAGCATGCAAGTTTAAGATGGATGGACTTCAACTCCCAGAATTCTCCAGCCAGCATGCAAGTTTAAGATGGGTGGACTTCAATTCCCAGAATTCTCCAGCCAGCATGAAAATTGATTCCACGATTTGAAATGCACACGTCTTAAAATTGCCCGATTTGAAAAAAAAAAGGTGATGTAGCACCTTCAGATCAGGCTGAAATCCTGAAGATCAGCCATCAATCGATATACATCGTTCTCCGCTAGATGAGCCGAGAGGCTGACTCAATCTGGAAACGTTTTCTGCGATTCTGCCCTGGAGAACCACACTGAACGATCTTTTCTGAACTGGCTCCGATTCCTATTTGGCTGGCCGAAGGACACAATATGTCCCTCGGTGGGGACAAAAACGATGGATGGTTCTCTTGGAGAGAAGGGCGGATGTTACAGCTAGGAAATGATGAGACTTAAGGACCAATACATTTGTGCGTAATCTTTTTTCCTCTGTTCCTGCGTGGCTTGTTTTCCTGGAATGACGAAGCCACAGCCATTCCTTTCATCAAGGCTATGGAAGGTGCAGACTCATTGGAAACGTTTCATTGGAAAACCAGAACAGAAGGGGGAGGGAGAGAGAGAGAGAGGGAGGGAGGAAGGGAGAGAGAGAGAGAGAGAGAGAGAGACAGAGAGACAGAAAGAGAAAGAGAGAGAGAGAGAAAGAGAGAGAGAGAAAGAGGGAGAGAGGGAGAGAGGGAGAGAGAGAAATAGGAAAAGGGGCCTATAAACAGATTGTACTCTGCAGCACAATGCAGACTTCCTTTGTTGGGATGTAGCCATTGTGGACAACAGGAAAAGCCGCAATAAATGCCAGGACCCAAGCAACAGCCTTCTCCGATGGGAAGGAGGGAGGCCCCCTGTCCAAGGAGGGGAGCAATTTAAAGCAGTGGTTCTCAACTTGTGGGTCGGGACCCCATTTGGGGTCGAACGACCATTTCACGGGGGTCGCCAAACAACGCCGTCCGCCATTTTTTTTCCCCTTTTCCTTAGCTGTGCTCCTCCCTTTTATTCTGTTGGCTTTTTAAAGCCAATAGAATAGACTCTCTTGAATAGAGTCTAATTCTATTGGCTTTCAAAAGCCAATAGGAACTGTCCAGGCTGTCTCTGCCCCGTTGAGCCCGCCAAAAGTCCCATTCTGCAAATGGTGCTGCACCAGTTGAGTAGTCCTCGACTTACGACCGGTTGAATAGTCCTTGACTTACAACCGGTTGGGGGTCGCGGCATTAAAAAGGTTGAGAACCACTGATTTAAAGGAAGGAGCCCTGGTGGCGCAATGTAGCATTGCAGGGTAACTCTGCCCACAGCCTGGAGTTTGATTCTGATCCTCTCTCTCTCTCCCTCTCTGTCTCTCGTTCTTTCTCTCCTTTTGGCTTTCCCTGTCCCATTACAATGAGATTTTGGGGCTCGGGTGAACCCCTTTCCTTCACTCATGAATCCTTGCTAGGAGGCGCCTGACTTTCCTTCAGCCAGGCTGCCACAACTGGGGCGTCCCTTGGGCCATCCACTGACTCGCCTCCTTGCTCTTCCAGGGCTGGTGAAGCAACTCTGCCTTTCGCTTTGGGCCCCAGCGGAGTCCGTTGCAAAAGAACATCTGTTGTGCCATTCTTTCACAACAGACGCACGTTGGACTTTTGCGGCCTAACCTTCTTTCCGAGGGCAAGATCTCTTGGCTAACTCCATCTGGGTGCCGTTGCCTCCTTCAGGCCGTGGCTTAGAGCCAGGGCATTTCCATTGGCACCATCGATCCGCTTTCTCCATAGCAGGGGAATGTTTATCCTACTTTCTTCTCCTGAACTTGAATTGCGTTGTTTTCCTGCCACTGTGACGGCCTTGTCTTCCTTCATCTATCTCAGTGTTTCTCAACCTTGACCATTTGAAGGCCTGTGGACTTCAACTCCCAGAATTCCACAGCCAGCGTTGCTGGCTGTGGAATTCTGGGAGTTGAAGTCCACATGCCTTAAAATGGTCAAGGTTGAGAAACACTGGTTCTATTGGCTTTTGCATGCTGGAGAAGGTCCACCCCAAGGAGAAACACACAACCCCCCCAGACACAAACTGAGCAATGTGCCATGTGCAGTGAGGCATGTGCAGATCTGTACACTGGGGAAACAAAACAACCGGTTCACAAATGCAGGGCACAAGACAGGAGAACAAACCCACCAGGACAAGATTCCAGCAGTCCGTCTGCCTTTGAAAGACAAAGGTCGCTCTTTCGAACACAGCCAAGTCCACATCTGGGACAGAGAGGACCACTGGTTTGAAAAAGGGGTCCAAGAGGCCATCTAGGTCAAAACTGAACAGACCTCCCTCAACAGAGGGGGAGGGACACGACATCGTCCATCTCCAGCCTGCAACACGGTCCTTTCAGCAGTTCCAAAAAGGCTCCACACCCATTTGCACCACTCAGGGGACCCTGAGGACACAGGTAAGCCTCCAAGTGGCCTCAACGACCCTCTAAAACAGTGGTTCTCAACCTTTTTAATGCCGCGACCCCCAACCGGTCGTAAGTCGAGGACTACTCAACTGGTGCAGCACCGTTTGCAGAATGGGACTTTTGGCGGGCTCAGCAGGGCAGAGACAGCCTGGACAATTCCTATTGGCTTTTGAAAGCCAATAGAATTAGACTATTCAAGAGAGTCTATTCTATTGGCTTTCAAAAGCCAATAGAATAAAAGGGAGTAGCACAGCTAAGGAAAAAGGAGGAAAAAAATGGCGGACTGCGTTGTTTGGCGATCCCCCGTGAAATGGTCGTTCGACCCCAAATGGTCGTTCGACCACTGCTCTAAAAGAATGCAAATGACCAGTGATGTGCAAGGAGTATAAATCCTTCCCTTCTCCACCATCCAGTCCGATCCGAAGAAGCTTCTTGGACGAGAAATGAAATATCTTCAAGGAAAAACAAAGTCCAGTTGTCTTTGGAAAAAGCACCTGTGCTAACCTGGATGACTGAGCGTCTCCCTAGACATGCTGAAGAAAAGTTTTCTTAATGCCCAGGGAGCATTGTGCCCTCCAGTTCCATTGGAATGTAAATCTTCCACCAGTGGTCAAGAAGAATTCAGTAGAAGATTCATCACGACAGTGGAAGCCTTAATGGGCAAATACGGATAGATGTATTTTTCCTTCTTTCAGTAGAACTGAGTTCAGGTAGGCCTCAACTTACAACCATCTGTTTAGGGATTGTTCCAATTGGAACAATTAACCAGCAGAACAGCTTGCCACCAGAAGTTGTGGGCTCGCCAACACTGGAGGTTTTTAAGAAGAGACCGGACAGCCACTTGTCTGGAATAGCATAGGGCAGGGGTAGGCAACCTGGGCTCTTTTATGACTCCTGGACTTCAACTCCCAGAATTCCTGAGCCAGCCGTGCTGAGGGGAAAGGGAGAGGTTTCCAAGCTGAGCCATGCTGGCTCAGGAATTCTGGGAGTTGAAGTCCACAAGTTTTAAGTTGCCAAGGTTGAGGACCCCTGATATAGGGCAGGAGTGGGGAACCTTGGCTCTTTTATGACTGGTGGACTTCAACTCCCAGAATTCCTGAGCCAGCCGTGCTGAGGGGAAAGGGAGAGGTTTCCAAGCTGAGCCATGCCGGCTCAGGAATTCTGGGAGTTGAAGTCCACCAGTCATAAAAGAGCCAAAGTTGCCTCCCCTGGTCTAGGGTCTCCTGCCTGAGCAGACGGGGTTGGACTAGAAGACCTCTAAGGTCAACTCTATTATTCTGTTATTCTGTCACAAGGATTGTGGCATCCTGGGTTTAGGTGACTGCCATTTGTGATCCAGCCAGCTTCCGACAAGCAAAGGCGGATTTGTTTAATGTCGGTATGATTCACTAAACAATAGCTGTGATTCGTTGAACAGCTGTGGTGGCGCAGCGGTTAGAATGCAGTATTGCAGGCTAACTCACTGCCCACTGCCAGCAGTTCGATCCTGACGGGCTCAAGGTGGACTCAGCTTTCCATCCTTCCGATGTCACTAAAATGAGGACCCGGATTGTTGGGGGCAAGAGGCTGACTCTGTAAACCGCTTAGAGAGGGCTGTCAAGCACTGTGAAGTGGTATATAAGTCTAAGGGCTATTGCTATTGCCCTTCCTTCCTTCCTTCCTTCCTTCCTTCCTTCCTTCCTTCCTTCCTTCCTTCCTTCCTTCCTTCCTTCCTTCCTTCCATAGTGTGCAGTGGTTAGAATGCAGTATTGCAGGCTAATTCTGCCCACTGCCATCAGTTCGATCCCGACCGGCTCCAGGTTGACTCAGCCTTCCTTCCTTCCGCGGTCGGTCAAATGAGGACCCAGATTGTTGGGGACAAATGTGCTGACTCTACAAACCGCTTAGAGAGGGCTGTCAGGCCCCGCAAAGCGGTATATAAGTCTGTTCTTGCTCTTGCTAAAAAAAAAAAAGGGTCATAAAATCCGGCGCAACTCACGGAACCATCTGCTTGCTTAGCAACAGAGATTCTGTTCCTAATTGTGGTTGTAAGTTGAGGACCGCCTCCGTGTCCTTAATGAGGTTGGTCTGCATCACTAATTATCTGGCTGATTTCTTGACTTGTCTTCTTTTTGGACCCTCTTCCTGCCTTTCTCCTCCCTCCCACCCCCTTTCCACGTCTTCGGCTCCCCAGGACTTACCCGGACTAAGCGAGCCCTCTTGACCAGGTCATTGAGCTTCCTCAGGGCAGAATTTCGGGGCAGGTTCTGGATGTCCGTGAACAAGTCCTGCTCCTCAAGCTCAAAGAGCCGTCGGTTGTCAGAGATCATCAGGGGCTCCGACCAGAAGGACCCGATGTAGACACGCAGCACTTCGGGGGTGTTGAACACTTTGCCCAGCGACCACATGAGGGCGCCGTAGACCCGCATCAGCTGCTGTGTCTCCACCATGTCGGCCTTGTTCAAGACCACCCGGATCTTGTCCTCGTTGCCCTTGAGGGCGCGGATGGCCTCGGAGAACTCGTCGGAGATCTCCAGCTTATGGGCGTCAAAGAGGAGGATGATGAGGTCCACGCGCTCGGCAAACCACTGGAGCACGGCCGGGAAGTCGTAGCCTGTGGAGGAAAGGAGAGCCTTGGGGGATAAAGAGGTCGTTTTCTGCACCCGTGCCAGGCGCGTTTTTCACTCTTGTCCCATCAATTGGCGACCACGACGGGACCCGGAATTTATGTGGCGCAGTGAGAAAATAGGTTAAGGGAATTTCTTCACCCGTTTTACCACTTTTCTTGCTACATTCGTTAAGCGAATCACCAGAGGTCTTAAATTAGTAACGCGGTTGTTAAGCAGATCTGGCTCCCCCCCCCCGACTTTGCTCGTCAGGAGGGCTCAAAAAGGGGATCACGCGACACACACACGGGACACTGCAATGTTCATAAATGTGAGTCAGTTGCCAAGCGTCCGAATGTAAATCACGTGATCATGCGGATGCTGCTGGAAGTTTTTAAGAAGAGGTTGGACAACTATTTGTCTGAAATGGTATAGGGTTTCTTGCCTGAGCAGGGGTTGGACTAGATGAGCTCCAAGGTCTATTCTATTCTATTCTATTCTATTCTATTCTATTCTATTCTATTCTATTCCACTCCACTCCACTCCACTCCACTCCACTCTTATTCTATTCTATTCTATTCTATTCTATTCTATTCTATTCTATTCTATTCTATTCTACTCTACTCTATTCTACTCTACTCTATTCTTATTCTATTCTACTCTATTCTTATTCTATTCTACTCTATTCTTATTCTATTCTATTCTATTCCATTCCACTCTACTCTTATTCTATTCTATTCTATTCCATTCCAATTCTATTCTTATTCTACTCTACTCTTATTCTACTCTACTCTACTCTATTCTTATTCTGTTCTTGCACAATGCAGAAAGAGTTAACCAGCCGTGAGCAAAAGAGAATTAGATGTAGCCTCAACTTGATGGAGCAACGCCTGTTCCTCCACCGGTCTCCCCATCTTTTCAAAACCAGAGCCAACTTTTGTTTAGAAAGGGAAGAGAGGAAAAGCACAGCCAGCAAGACGTGTTCTGGTACAGTTCCTTCCCCTCGCACCAGCCTGGACACCCCCTTCCCGTCCCATGAAGCAGATTTTCCATGGGCCGGACTCAGCCCCCTCCCTCTGTCAGATCTAAACAAGCTTTGGGCTGGAGCCCAGCCACCATCCCCAGCCGGTCCTGCCTGCCTCTTGGCAGCTGAAGTTCACAAGGCCTGTTTCACAGCACCAAAAAAGGAAACCGACTCTTCCATAGGAAAGTTTGAGCCAGAGGGCCTCATTGTTCTGCAGCGATTAAAGAAAACTCATAAAGATGGAAGATCTAAATATGAAGGGGGAAGGGCTGGCCGGCCAGGCCTTATCTCGGTCCAGCAAAAGGACTCCCAGGCTGGAAAAGGAAGCCGAGGTGGGCAAAGGTCACCTAAATCATGGTGTGTGTTTGGCTCCAGCGGAAAGAATCTGGAGTCCTCCGGTCTTGCAAGATTGAGACCATCTCTGCCATTAAGGAGAAACTTCCTAACAGTTGAGGACAACTTTGCCTTCAGAAGGTGTGGCTGCTCCATCCCATGACATCCTTTTTGGTCATGGGATCAAAATTCAGCCGCTCGGCAACTGACTCGTACTTATGATGGTCGCAGCGTCCCCCCCCCCGGGGTCACGTGATCCCCTTTGGCGACCGTCTGACCAGCAAAGTCAACGACCGTGTTATGGTACTAACAACCGTGTTACTTAACGACCGGGTTACGGTACCAACTTCACAGCTGCAGCGTTTCTCTTAACCTCTATGGCAGTGGTTCTCAACCTGTGGGTCGGGACCCCATTTGGGGTCGAACGGCCATTTCACGGGGGTCGCCAAACAACGCAGTCCGCCATTTTTCCCCCCTTTTCCTTAGCTGTGCTACTCCCTTTTATTCTATTGGCTTTTGAAAGCCAATAGAATAGACTCTCTTGAATAGAGTCTAATTCTATTGGCTTTCAAAAGCCAATAGGAATTGTCCAGGCTATCTCTACCCTGCTGAGCCCGCCAAAAGTCACCTTCTGCAAACGGTGCTGCACCAGTTGAGTAGTCCTCGACTTACGACCGGTTGAGTAGTCCTCGACTTATGACCGGTGGCATTAAAAAGGTTGAGAACCACTGCTATAGGGTCTCCTGCTTGAGCAGGGGGTTGGACTAGGACAGGGCTTTTCAACCTTTTCACCCATTGTACCACTTTCAGGATATGGCAACATCCAAGTACCACCAGTTGCCAAGCAAGGTGTCAAAAACTTGATGACCCCCCCCAAAAAAAAGAAAAAAAGGAAAAAAGTACAGGTAGTTCTCAACTTACAACAGTTCACTTAGTAACTGTTCAAAGTTACAACGGCACTGGAAAAGGTGCCCCCCCCAAGCCACAGCTGAGCAAGATACCTGCCTGCCCGCCCGGTGGTGCTCTTCCTCCTGTCCGAGGTTTTCATTGTTGTGAGCATTTCTGTTGAGGATTGGTAGTGGGGGTGGGGTGAGGGGTGTTTGGTTTTTACCCCCCCCCCCCCGTCTGCTGGGTGGTTGCAGCAGGTTTTGGTCACTTCACATGACCCTGGGACATTGTGACCGTCATAAATATGAATCAGTTGCCAAGCATCTGAATGTAAATCACAAGACCTGGAGAGGCTGCAACATTCCAGCTGATCGGCGCTTCTTCTGGGCTCAGTTGGAGCGTGGCGCTGATCCTGGTGCTTCCACTGAGCCCTGACAGCCCCGAAGAAGTGCTGATCCTGGCGCTTCCGCTGAGCCCTGACAGCCCTGCAGCTCCAGCCATCTCTCGATCAGGCTTGTGCGGTGCTGCCATCGGTTCAGCTCATTCCTCTCTCCTGCTACCATTTTTCTAGGATGGTTGCATACCACCTGCCAGGTGCCAATGGACCACAGGTGGTACCCGTACCACTGGTTGAAAAGCCTTGGACTAGAAGACCCCCCCAAGGCCCCTTCCAGCTCTATTCTTGATTGATTGATTGATTGATAAGTTGAGGGCATCTCTGAGCGTCTGCAGTCTGTTCTCCACTCATTACTCAAAAAATTTTGGTCATCGCACCACAAAAAAGATGTTCAGTCTTTGGAAAAAGTTCAGAGAAGAGCAACTAAGATGATTAAAGGTCTGGGGATTAAAACATACGAAGAACGGCTGCTGGACTTGGTTTGGCTAGCCTAAAGAAAAGAAGAAATAGGGGAGACATGATAGCAGCGTTCCAGTATTTGAGAGGCTGCCACAAAGAAGAGGGGGTCAAATTATTCTCCAAAGCACCAGAGGGCAAGACAAGAAACAATGCTTGGAAACTGATCAAAGAGAGAAGCAACCTGGAATTAAGGAGGAACTTATTAACAGTGAGGACAACGAACCAGCGGAACGGCTTGCCACCAGAAGCTGTGGGCACCCCATCACTAGGGATTTTTAAGAAGAGACTAGACAGTCACTTGTCTGAGATGGTATATAGGTTCTCCTGCTTGAGCAAGGGGCTGGACTAGAAGACCTCCAAGGTCCCTTCCAGCTCTATTCTATTCATCAAGGAAAACAGGAAAATATAAATCCAGGTTGACTCGGGCTCTTGGGACTCAAGAGAGGAGGCAAGGTTGAAAACCATCGTTTCCAAGAAGGCTGGATCTGGACCAAGAGCCCTGCAGGAAATGGGAGAGCGGGGTCACTTCAGCTTTTGTCGTCAGCCACGGGGTTTCCGGTGAACTTTAAAAATGGCAGGTTTTTATATACGCAAATCTCTAGGCAGGCTAGAACAGAAGGATATTGTTTTAACATTCCTTGCAGATGGCAAATTTCCAAAGGAAAGCAGTAATATAAATAAATAAATAAATAAATAAATAAATAAATGTTTTCTGAGGTTTTCGCGGGTGTTTGTATGTAGGTCTTTGGTTATTCGGGTTTTCTCCCACGTAAAATTGGAAGTGTCTTGGCGACGTTTCGACGAAGTCTCATTCGTCATCTTCAGGCTGGTGTCTTCAGCTTCGTGCTTCGAGGAGCTTCTCGAAGCACGAAGCCGAAAGCACCAGCCTGAAGATGACAAATGAGACTTCGTCGAAACGTCGCCAAGACACTTCCAATTTTACGTGGGAGAAAACCCGAATAACCAAAGACCTACATACAAACACCCGCGAAAACCTCAGAAAACATAATATATATATATATCGTTTCTTCGCCTTCTGGCTTGCTTGGCAGCAGAATTCGCATGGCGGCCAGCCCCCCCCGAGAGCCCACACTGCAGGGGGATGTGACCCACCCAAATGCCAGTCCTTGGGGGGGGGGCAGAAAGGGTTTGGACTCCAGAGAGTTCAGCTGCGTGAAAGATTTGGCCTGGGCGCCACGCAGGAAGGGTAATAACTGAGAAGCCATTGGATGCTGGAAAATATTTTGACTTTTTCTTCACTCGTGTAACGGGAAGATGTTCTATTGCAGATAGTTCTCGACTTAGCAGAATGGAGCCCAACGTTTCTGTCGCTAAGTGAGACAGCTGTTAAGTGAAATTTGCCCCCGCTTACGATCTTTCTTCCCACCGTTGCTAAGTGAAACAGGGCCGTTAAGATAGTAACATGGTTGTTAAACGAATCTGACTGCTCATCAGAAGGGTGCAAAAGGGGATCACGTGACCCCGGGACACTGCGACCGTCGTAAATACGAGTCAGTTGCCAAGTGCCTGGATTTTGAACCCATGACTGTGGGGATGCTGTGACGGTCGTTAAGTGTGAAAAACGGTCCCATGTCCCTTTTTTCAGTGACATAACTTCAAACGGTCGCTAAATGGACTGTTGTAAATTGAGGACTGCCTGTAAGGCTTCCAAATGGAGCACATGGAAACTTACCGAAGAGAAATAAAAATAAAGAACAACAACCACAACCCTAAATGGTTTTGAGCCCTCCCACAAGGTAAAAAAATATTAGGGACGAAAAAGAAAATCAGAACGCACAGTAATGGTGTGTAACAGTGTCACTTTGTGCAAAAATGTATCAGCAGCTCCTTGCCCGGCGCATCAGGGCTGGCTGAAACCGGTTGCAAAGTTTATAACGGGACGCAGC